CTTGAAATCCAAAAAATAGCTCTCCCTCCGAATCATCCCGACTTGGCAACTTCCTACAACAACATCGGTTTGGTGTATAATAACATGGGCGAGTACTCGAAAGCACTTTCATCGTTCGAACGATCACTTGAAATTCGAAAAATAGCTCTCCCTGCAAATCATTCTGACTTGGCTGCTTCCTACAACAACATCGGTATGGTGTATGATAACATGGGCGAGTACTCGAAAGCACTTTCATTTCTCCAAAAAGGACTCGCGATACGACAAAAATCACTGCCACCAAACCATCCGGATATTGCACAGTCGAAAAGAAACATTGAAATCGTAAAAACCAAAACGTAATTGTTTTCTTTTTAAACAAGAAAATAAAATGACCATCTTGAACACGTTTGGCTCGCCGAAGCGCACCAACTACAAAAATTTCGCGCACGCGCGACCAGGGATACCCTCCGTATTCTGCTGGGTTGTACAGTGGACAAAGCCGACAATGATAAGGCAAACATACATATATGTATGTATGACTAGTACATCCATGATCATCATCTTCGGAAAGACGATGATCAGATGGACGCTTCTAGTCATACATACATAGATGTATGTTATAAAGGCCTACCATCTACACGCGTGTACAGGTTACCAACAGAACGTCGGATATCCCTGGGAAGGCTCAATTTGTTTTAGAGCGACCCTTGAAAGCTTCGTTTGGTTTAAATTTTTTTGTTCTTCTGTTACGAAGAACGAGAAGAAACATAGAAACGCGAAGAAAGACGACGTCGACGGAATTTTAATACGCAGTGTATGATGACAACCGGTTGTTTTGACTCATGCTGTGATATTGAGTGCACGATATCTATATCGTCTTTACACATGTTATGTTCAATTTATTTTTCTTTTCATCTTGAATGTGTAAGAACAAATGAGATGTCGTGCACTGAATATCATGCTATAAGAGTGATGACTGAACGAAAGAAGAACACAAAAAAGAAATTATCGACTATTCTCTTTGATTAGTAACATACGCATATATAAGAGATAATTGAAAGAAGAAAATGAAAAAGAAATTTTTATAAATTTAATGATTTTTGTTACTTATTATATCAGGTTTTACAAAAATATTATTTTACGATCATATTGACTGAATATAATATAATAAAAGAGAAGTTCAAATAGATCAAGTGCAGTAGTTGATTTTTTTTAAATAATAATTTACAGTCAAAATTATGGATCTAATATAAAGATTTGTAGAATAGTTTTTCGTTCATTCATTGATGAAAGTGAATATTCAATCGACGTTAGACTTTTTCCGTCAACTATTCATTCATTTATTATGATTATCAAAAAATGTTTAAACTTATTTATTTAGCTTTAAAATAAATGAATTGAATATAAAATAAACAAAATGAATAAACTAAGTAAATCACTTGAAGTTTTAAAATTATTTTCAACAACAACATGTTATCGAAAGTTTTTTTTGATCTAGAGATAAAGATGAAAATATTTCTAAATCAGTTACGACTATTGTAAAAGTATTATAAAAGAAATTCTTTTTTTTTAATAATTTTGTATGAATTATAAAATAGGATTCTAAAAGATAATCCTAATGTTGAATAAAAAGCATTCAAAGGTTTGTTTTATTTCAGTTTCAATTAGATGTTCTATGGCGATTTGACGAATCAGCAAATGTAATACGTTCGAAAAAGATTCAACCATTTTATTAGCATATAATGAACTTTTTTTTTTATATTCTTGGTTGATCAATTAATGATGAAAAAATCAAAGTAAGTAAAAAAGAAAATTCTTGTCATCTAAGAAACCTCTTCTAAAGAAGTAATCAGTAAAAGGTTATGCGATTGCTCTAGTTAATCGACAACTTCTGAGTCCATTTTTAGTTAAAACTTAGAGCAAGAGAGGATATTTTTCAGATAATGTAGAATAGGTAGTCTCATACTATTTGACGAAATACCGATTGAGAAATTGTCCATCATTTGCAGTAAGAATAATAACATTTTATTTATCATTAAATATCAATAAGAAATGAAATAAATTAATCATAGTTGATTCACTAACAATCGTTATAGTTAAGGTATGAAGTCGAGTAAGAACGAATTTTTCTTTTTTTTTCCTAATATTAATAATAAATTATTTTCAGGAACCTCTCATGTCCTATTCAGTCAATATGTTATCCTATGAATATAGCACGTTTTCTAATGATAAATGTAATTGGTAAGTTTTCTTTCAAATAATTATTTCAATTAATTATAATTTGTCTTTTATTTTAATAGATCAAATATTTGAGCATTATAATCAAAATCATAGTACAAATTTTAATAATTGGTTATCTTAAATTAAATATCAAAAAATTTCAATCATCATCAAGAAAAAGTCAACGATCAATAACAAGAACTAGAAATATTGGTACAAATGAACAACATCTTTCAATCAGTATTTGATAAATAATGAATGATTTTATTTTCTATGTAAATCTTTATTTTTTAATATGTTGATATGATATTTTATATTTGTTTACAACATAAAAGATCATAATGTAATATGAAATTCATTGGAAACACATGAAATTGTACTTAGATATTCAAACTTATTTGATTTTGATCAATTATTAATTTCAATTCAAATTGGATCTATAGAGGTAACTTGTATTAGTCACACATTAAACACATGTAAATATTGTGAAAAGAGAACAACAAGTTTTTTTTTTCTAAAATAATAGATTATTCAACATATCAACGTTGATTTATTGAAATTAATAAACAACACGATATTTTAGTATATAAAATGAATGATGAATTATATTCAAAATCGATGATTAATAATGAAAAACAAACATCAGTTGCTAAACTTGTTAATCAATTATGTTTTTTTTTCCAATTAGACATTTGCTCAATGTGTTAATAATTTGATCATCCAACTGTAAGTATGTTTAATGCTTGTTTGAGACCTTTTTCTTTTTTGTAAAGTTTCAGTTCAGTAAAATACATTTATTTTATAATCCAAAATTATTTCCAATGTTGTAACAGTAGGAGAACTCAGATGAATAGGATAAATCTGATGAAGGAGCTTGTAACAGAGTTTACTTAACGTGGCTTCAATTGGATATGGTCTCAAAGTTTTAGTGAAAGTTATCTGATAGATATGAAGATTTTACTGTTGAATTGTTGAAACAAAACAATATGAAATTTTAACCTTTTCGAAACCAACAAAAGAGTAGAGCATTTTACTAAATAGGTTAGACATACAAAAATTTTAGGGTCCAGAGGCTGCATTTATATATGTCAGAGATTGAAATTCTACAATCACATAATTACCTCAAGAACAAAGTTCGAAGTTAAAGTACGAATTCTGTACATATCTAGTACGAAAGAGATGTTCAGTTTTTCATTATGATATGAAATCAATTGTATTCTCGAATGAGTTTTTCTTTAATCTTTGAAGATTTCTAATTAAATAAAAATTTTCTAATTGATATGAAATTCTTATCTCTATATGACTTGTAATGCATTAAAATCTATCGAACATCGAGGTAGACGATCTACATTTATGTGATACATATGCAAATTTCTTTCCTTGCTACATTAATTAAAAAGAACCATTCATCTTTTCAGACTATCATCATTATCAAATTCAGTTAATAATTCTTTTATTAATGAATATTCACTTGTATCAATTGATTCACAAGATAGTTCAAGGTTAGATTACAATATTAAATCGTCTCTTGTTTTTGATAAAAATATTCTTTCTTTTTGTTTTTAAATATATTCAATTAGGTATATTAGCAGAATTACTTTCTACATTTCGATTATGTCTTTAGGATAATAATACACATGTTATACATTTACAATCATAGGAATTGAATTATTTGAAGATTCTACTCAACATAGTACAAGCTCTTATATTCTTGCTAAAGTAGACAAATGAAACTTATGATTACAATAAACTGTTTATGTGTATAAAATAGGTTGCTCTAGCTCAAATTGTGCGTAATATTGATTTTCTTGAACACTAACTTATCTTGAATAACAACAATAACAGATAAAAAAAAACAGTAAACTAAAACTAATCACATATAGAGGATAAAAACAATATCTTGTTTTTTTTTGTTTTACTTTTATTTTTAGAATCGATCATGACTTGATCATTGTATTGACATTATCTTTCTATTTCTTACTGATAATGATACAAGTGTTCGTTCAGTAGCTACTTCAACTTTTGCTAAGTATGTCAATTGTAGAGATGTTAGTTAACTATATAGTTTTATTTTCGAAGTTAAATAATGCATCAGTCGATTTTATTGTATTAAGTTAGTTACTGGCTACTTTTTGATTTTCAGATTTATTGATCACAATTCATTTTTTTAGTATATCAATGGTCAATACATTATTTACCTAAATGGATCAATTCTTCCTGTCAATGGATGCATAAAATTCATTATTCATTACAACAAACAAATACTTCTGTAAATATATTCAATGATGGAGTGCAATGTGAAACAATATCATGTTTAGCTCAAACATCAACTCGAATATAAATTGTTTGTTATTTTTGTCTTTTATATAAGTTGGATGTTTAGAAGGTATTTATGCTCTTTCAAATATTTTAGGATCAACAACAATTCGATCATTTTTTTCATAATCAATATGATGAGCTTTGTTTAGTTATACATCTATTTATATGAAATGATCTTAATAATTTACAATTATTACTCGATAATAATAATAATTTAATATTTTGAAGTAAAGAAAAGAAAAGATATTTATTATGTTTCTTTAAATTCTTTCTTTTTATTTGAATATTTATCAGATCTTAACAAATAGCTTCACAATCATCATTTTTGTTGGGCAGAAGTTCATTTTCTATAATTGATATTTCAACTTTCGTAGAAGAAAGGAGTTCTAAAGTTTTAGATTTGAAGAATGTATTGGATCATGTCTTGTCTGAATGAATTCATTTGTTTTTTTGTTTTAGAGAATGATAAAGATTCATCAATAATATCAAACACAAATAAAGATACAGAAGTTAATTTTGAACGATTACTTTCAACAACATTAATTTCTATAAAATCAATAGTAAGTCTTATTTCTACATAAGATTTATTAAAAAATTTGGAAGAAACACTTAATTATTTTAAATCAACGTTCAATGTACAAAAGAGGTAAAACTTCTTTTAAATAGTACATATTAGTTAGAAAATTTCAGTTATTAATCTTCTTCTACTAATCGTTTGAGCTAAAACCTTTAGGATGTCGTATTGGGTCTGAACCAGAGACTAGCTGGCAGGGCAGAAACGTTTATCCTATGCCAAAAAAATTTAAAAAAAGGCTAATTCCAGTTTAGTTTTTCTGATTAAACTATCGATTAAAATGCGAATGTTTTTAGTCGATTTTAATCTAATTATTTCATCTTCAATTCATTTTGATTGTCATTTCACAAATAATTTTTAATGAATTAAACCTTGCTTATAAAATGAAGTTGATTAGAAATGTAATCGAGTTTTTTTTCTGCTACACGTCTTAAGAAATCTGAATATGAACTGACTATTTCCTTAAAAATTTGATGAGCACAGAAAAAACTACAAGAAAGAAAAATTGCCTTTTGTTCAGAAGACCTAATTTTAATCGATGAAATTAAAAGATGGTCGATTTTCATCAAACACAAGTCAAGAATAGAAGATCATATTTTATGTTAGAAGACCACGACGCACTTAAAAAATTTCATAAAACATAACAGACGACATATGAGTTCTTTAAAATTTTATGTCGAAAATTCTGCTGACTTTATGAAATTCAGCATAACGAAACTTTGTTTTTCAGTTACAAGTTTATTTTTGCATTATAGGAAAGAATAAGTATAAATAAAAATAAATCTTTATATTTATAAAATGAAGATAGATGAATTATTTATTTTTGAAAATTAAAGAATAAAGAAAGATTTGTTCTGTTATAGATAAATAGACAAATACATAGTATAACAACTGGATATGTGAAGCAATATTCTTTCTTGCCATGAATATTACTTCGACATGTCATATCATTAGAAAATCAAGCGAGTGCATGAAAAAAAGAATATATATGCAAAAAAAACTTGTTGCATAGCTCATATACATCTATGGTGTTTATTTTTGAAAAAATAGAAAAATTTTTAATCTTTATTTTAAAAATATAAAGAATTTACTGATGTTTTTTTTATAAATATAAAAATCGTCTTATATTTATTAAATAAAATAAAGCGAAAAAAACGTGACCCTAGTAAAAAAAACAAATATTGTTTTGCAACTAAAATTACTTTCTTCTTTTTTCTAGCACGGAGTTTAGTGACTAAAAGCATCTAAGAATATCATTATTTTATTGAAGGTTAAAATCTTGCAAGAGACATATTCAATTTATAAGTATTATTCTAATCTGTTGATGCCCTGCACCCTATCCTTAGAGCAGGTCAAGAAAAAAATACTTTGTGATAGTCTCTTATCCAAAACTTGTCTGTGGACAGAATTTTAGATGGAAATCTTATAATCAAGATTTCAGGAATGGTCTAATTCAGAAAAAGAAAATTTCAATATAAGAATATCATAGTAACAGAAAAACTGATTTTGCAAATATTGACGGTTTTAATGAGAGAATAGTTTATTGTGAAAGTGCCACATCTTTTCATTTGGTTCTCTCTTGAAATTCGAAATTTGAAAATTAGTTTTTTCTGTTAATGCAACATTCGTTTGAAAATATTCTTTTAATTTAGTTTTCATTAAACCTATACTAATTAGCAATCATATCATCATCATCATCTGCTGAAACAAAATATTCAATTGTTACCTCACAAGTACCAATAAATAATTCTTTAAATAATATTCATACAATAACTATTCGACAATTGATTATTTATTTTATTTGGTTCACGTTATATATCAAATATAAATAGTGATCAATCCATAGAATATAGTGCAATGCGAGAGTAAAATAAACAAAAAAAAAACGAATTTGATCTATTCTGTTTTTTTTTGTTTTCTATTTTAGTTTTTATTGAACTCGATTTACTTGTTCAATTACGTTTAATTCGTGTTAATTATAGTTGATTAAATGCTGATGAATTTTCGTTTATTTTTTAAACAGCATTTTCTTACTCATATAATCTATCAACTGGAAATGATTTAAGAAACTATGCCAGATTATGATATATTATCACATTTTATTTATAGTATTGCTAAGTGTCTTGTTATGTTATCACATGATACACTTCATTGAAAACAAGTTATTTAAGTACAACATTTAGTAAAATATTGTGATTAATTATTAGCAAGCGAACATGAACTTGAAACGCGTGGTAGGAAGTAAAAACAAAAAAAAATATTTTCGAGAAAAATAAGTTATCGTTAAAATTCTTTATTTAGCTTTAGCAGCATTAGTACCAGTTGTATATGATTTATTTCTTGTTGAAACCTTACTTGAACTTGTTCGATATAATAAAGTAATGTGATATTATAAGAAATAGTCCCCATTTGAATAATTAAAATTCCTAAAACATTTTATTAAATGAGAGTGAACAAAACATGTTCTTCCATCAGGTCTCAAATATCGTAGAAACTCGAAAGTATGTATAGGTGTAATTTTCCTCCTCAATCGAACCCACACCTACGCTCCAACGAATCAGTTATCTGAAAATAACTATATTGTTGATGCTAAGAGTTCGACAATATTTGGAAATAACAATATTCAGTTATATATTTGATAAAAGATACGACAATTAAAAGTTTGAAGGAAAAGTAGGCATCTTAATTATTGGAAATAAAAGAATCTTTTCATATCGTCTCTACGTACTAAGAAAGCAATAATAGAATTGATATTTTTTGTAAACTTTGCAACTGTTGATAGTGTTCGAAATGAAGGTAATAAATGAAAACATTTTTCACGACAAATTGTCGATGTACTTCTTGTTCATCTTACTATTGGTTTATCTAAGGTTATTTTTCTCTTTTTAATAATCTTCGACTATACGTTACTGTTTCTTTTCAAATAGGATCAATCACTTTTGGATATTTATTCAACATAATTAACACTATTTGATGTTGTATCATCATTTGAATTACGACCAATTGATCCATTTGTTGTTGCTTTTCGAGCATCAACAAATAGAAATGTTAGTTTGTTTTTATTTATGAAATTTTCCTGTTGTTTAAATTTCTTTTTTTTAGGACATCAGTCATCAAACTATGAATTGATGGTTAATTAATATAAATATCATTCTTTGATGTCTTGTATCAAACTTAACTAAAGATCCGATATTAACATGATGGAATAATGCTTTATCATTAGTTAATAGAATACGAGATAGTGAGTAAGTATTTGCAATGATTTTATTTATAATTTAAAAACTACGATTCTTACTTTTGTTTTTAGAGCTCCTCTTCGAATTTTACATGACGTAATATCACGAATTTTCGGAAAATAACGTGGTCAAATCAATATGACATTAGTTTCTCTGCATATTATGAAAAATGGTAATGAATCAAAATAATAGTGTATTTGTAGACATGAATATGATAGTTCAACAGTAGAAATATTATTTTTAGCTGAACTTGTCATCTTTGTAACAAGCGTCATAATGATTGATTTAAAAATTTCGATATGAAACTTTAGAAAAAAGAAACTAACTGAGCAGATAATAACCAGTTTCTATCAAAGTCAGAAGATCTTAAGCTCTGATCATAATCTATATGATAGTAACATATCACCCATTCATTTGAGAAGAAAACTGTCTTGCATTTCATTAATTACTAACGAACTAGCGATAAAACATTTGACTTAAAAAATTTCTATGTTCTTATAAGATCTATAATTTTATTTTAGCTAAATAATTTCGAAAAAATTCTAAATGATTTTCGTCAATCATTAGCTCATGATGAAACTGTATATTGTCTTGATATATTTTCATATTCAACTAGTTTAAATGAATATTTTAAATTATTATTATAATGAATACATATTCTGAATATACTTGATAATGCGCACAAGAAGCATGATGGTCATCAATATAAACACCATCATCATTAATAACACACTTATTCATAAATGATTAATTACAATCTTATTATAATTTAATATATTATCATAAATTATATTTGGTCTTATACATCTATACATCAGTTGCAAGTCATTTATTCATTTGTGAAGGAATACATTTAGATGAAAATGGTTTTTTTATTAGTTTTATTAATTGAATAATTTCTTCTATTATCATATATATTTGTATTATGTTTAGCTGAATTAATTGTTTATGATCGTATTGAAATGACGTTAATACTTGATCAATAAATATTAAATAAACAATTATTAACAAAATATTTACTATTAAGTTTTATAAATATAATCAATAACAATACCAACCGATATTATTAAAGAAGATTTTAATAATCTTTATTATCCTATGGATATAACAACAAAAATTGATGCACAAATGCTTAAAAATGTAACTTATAAAAAATGATTATCATTTATGATGTCATCGGTATGTTTTAGTTTAATCTATCGAAATAAATATAATACATATACATGTATATTGAAAATTTTAATCCAATCAAAGGAAAAATGTTTGTTTTTTCTTTAACATTTGTCTATGTGTGTTAGTAATAGATGAAATTTTTGAATAATTCAAAATTTCGAAAAATATTTTGAAATAGAAAACTAGCCAGTCTGCTGTACTTACATATAAAGAAGAACGAGTTTCAACGATATAAATAAGAAACAAAATATGTACAATTTCAAGTAATAAAAATTGCAAAGGAAAGTATTTAAACTACATTAGTACAATGATCAGATGATTCTTCTCAAATCTCATTAATCAAATTCTCAGTCGTACTATTTGTATTGTTACAACTAAAGAAAGTTATGTCTTTCTAATATGATGAAATGACTAATGAAGAAAATGAAAATAATTTTTAGAAATCAAAAATTTCAAGTTTATGAAACATTCTTCGAAACAAATATCATCAACCGATGACTTAAAATGCAATAGTGATGTTCATCTTATATTCATTTCGATCGAAGGAGATCTATTTAAAAAAAACTAGTTGAGTTTTATAAAACATCACGAAGTCTTTCTCGAACAAGAAAATTGCATTCGAGAATTTCGACAAACTTATATAGGTTTAAATTCCTAAACTCTGAAAACGTATTGGGTTTTTTTTCATCGCATTAAATTTTTAGGATAATTCTTATAGTAAATGAAAATTGATTTGAGAAAATAACAAACAATATAAATCTGTTCTTTTTCTTTTATCTTCTTAGGGTTTTGTATAGTTATCAATATCTCATTATCTTATCCTTGGTATTTTATCAACATAATGATTAATATCAAATGAAACAAATTTAAATAATGTTGAAAAAACATTTTAATACAATTTATGTAAAAAGTCTTTTATCATACTTTTATAATAATCAATCATATTCAATTGCATTAATAGATTCTATATCAATTTATTTTGATAGAAATACAAAATCATGTTGAATTAACATGTCAATTTTCAATAGATAATATACATGATTTATTACGTTTTATAATATTTATATCAGAAATAATTTATATAAATATATTTCAAAAAAATAAACCATTTCTTAGTTGTAAAACAGATCAAATATAATATTATCTTGTACATTATCGAAAACATTATTATCAATATTTGAATATCTTTCTAAACGACATGCTTTAACTGTATCAAATAAATTAATTCTTAAATTTAATTGAACTAGATAATACATCATTTATAAAATTATTACTCTTATTATTTAATGATCTTTGTTATTTAACAAGAAAAATTAAGTATATATACATATTAACATGATTTACGTTGTATAGCTATATTATTATTTTCTTTATCAACATTTAAGTAATTTAATTCATCGTAAATCAATCTAATGATGAAAATAGATAAATAACAAATAATTTAATCATAGAGAACATTTTCGACACAAATACAATACAATAGTAACAAGGTTCAAAAATAAACAAGATTTTTGTCTGTTCTTTTTTATCAGTAGTCAATATATGTAAAGACGTTCAAAATTAGATACACAGGCTCAAATAATTTATTTAAAAATATTGAACGATTAGGTAGACGTGATTTATTGTCAGAAGAATTTAAACTTTATTATACAGAAACCTAAGTTAAGAGAAAAACAAAATCATTGATAAATTAATTTCATCATACAAAAAATCTAGTGTTTCTCTCATTCTGATTACTTGTTGTATTCTATTAAATTTAGAGTTCATTTCATCGTTTTATTTTCTCGTTATGGCCTTGATTTAACATCATCATTAGAAATTCTAATTGAACTATATATTCGTTGGTTAATTACAAAATATATCTATTTGATTTATTTTCATCATCACAACATTTATGAAGTTTATATAATTTATGTGATGAATATTCTCGTACATGATTTGGGTGTGGGTATAGGTGTCAATATAAGTGTGCGTATGTTTGCATTGTTCATTAGACACCCACACCTACACCCATCGTTTGATCCTACTTAGGGAACATATCCAACTATCAGACATCATTTGAATTCACTTTATGACAAAGACCGAATAGATTCGATGGCCGTGTCCTTCTATAGTAAGCCGTTGGTCGTTGTTTTAAGAAATAAAATATCTCGTGAACGTGAAAGTCTTCGAATTGACAAATCGTTTTTGAGTCAACATTATGTTCATTATATATGTTTCAAATCTCTATCGCTATTCCTATCTTAAAAGAAATAGGTATGGTAATAGTACGTCTTTTCCATCACTCATATAAACTAGCTATTTTGATGATCTTATTTTAGGATAGGAGCAAAACAAAAGAATTGAAACTGTAACAATAAATTAATCTTGCTAAAACCTGTCTCTATGACAAAATTTCAAGTTGAAACTCGAAAAGCACTTTTTTCTGTTACTACGACATTCATTTAAAAACTCCCGCGTAAAAGTACAGTACCTCTTCTAGCAATGAGCTACGGGAAAGAAGTCTTTTCAGGATACTCATAGTTTATTTCGGTCTACAAGAAGCATATGCTCTCGATCCACAAGTAATTTATCAGGTTGAAGAACTTCCCTTCTCAGTATCACCAATACTTCAGAATTTTTTTAAGAATATTCTCATGTAAACATATAAGTTTTGTTTTTTATTTATTTAGTGAAAATAACAAAGCATTATCAATTATAAATTGCTAACGCTTCTACGATTATTATTATTCTTCATTTACACCATCAATCTGAATAATGATAAGATTTTATCTATGACATTATCGGCTTGAGAAAAAAATATTTGGTTATTCTTTAATTCAATTATTATTTGGACTTTAAATATCAATGATTGAAATAAAAACTAATTTATTATTTAAAATTTTATTAATAAAGATAACGTTTTTATCTAATGAACAAATGCAATCCGATTGAAAAAGAAAAAATAACTTTGCATTAATGATAAAAACCTAGTTGTCGAAAATTAATACAATACACATGATTTAAGACTCAGCTTGTTTTTTTCATTTTTTATACGTCATCATTGATGATAAATTTGATAATAGTTTCACACACACGCACCTACATCAACGGAAAAATTTTCTTTTCACTTTGTATTCATTTGACTTGTTACTTTCAATTAGATAATCAATGATTTATCAACATATAGCTACACATGTATATATATATTTATAGCGAGACATAAAAGTTCTTATGAAACAAGTGAAGCGCACGACATCTTAGTTGTCTTCACACATATCGAATCAGCTCAATAAATTATCGATCGAAATGTGTAAGGACAAAACGAATGTCGTGCGCCACTTAACTATCATATAAGCTTTTCGTCATGGACGAGCAGACTATACGATGAAAGAAGTAAAAACAGAACAACTGTTCTGTTGTCTTTTGTTATGGATTGTATTAACTCGTGAATGTATCCTTATAAATAAACATAGGAATCACAAAAGCAAAGAAAAAAATTTTTTTTTTGCCAAATTCTGTCTTAGTCTAGATTTCCCTTTAGAAAAAAAAGTTATTGCATTACACTAATATATTATATATTAGTTTTTATGTAATAAGAATGTGATTTTGTCGATAATGACAATATGATGGTTTTGTTGAATCATTATTTTATTATTATTATTTGATCGATACTATCATAGGCATAAATTAAAATGTATATTTGTTTTATTGAATGTGGTGAAATTTGTTGTGGTTACTCTTGTCGATGATCGATCAGTCATATCAACTGGTTGTTTTTTTGAATATTTGCCGAAATAAAAATTGTAAGTTTTTTCGTAATTTAGATCTTATTATACATGCTATTATTCCATCATCATGATCACTTTCATTATTATATATAAAGATAGGAATCAATATAATGTGTCATCTTCATCATCAGATGCATTACTCAAATAAATAAAGTTTTGTATATAATGAAGACCTTAAGGCTAAACGCAAAATAAATATGTTTGAAATTCAATAGCTCAATCGAGTCTCAATAGAGGAACCCATATTCGTCTAAAGTTTCCACTAGAATACCTTATAATAATATCTATAGACGGAAAATCGAAGAAGGTTCTTTTATTAGTCACCTAAATATTGTTGAATTCTAATTCACATACGAACTCAATTGACTATATTCAAATGTCAAATACCGTTCAACTTCATACATATTATTGATACGCCCAGGTCTCGATCGAAGCATGAAAAATCTTAATAGAACCTTTTTTTTGAATATTTCAAAAAAGACATGTTTATTTTTGTTGGAATTCTAGATCTTCGATTTTCTGAAAATGTTTTACTCTCAATAGAAATTTCATCCACTTTCATACAACCGCCTAAGATTTCGTTTTAGGAAGAAGATTAGTAGAATATGTTGATAACGTCAAACGTTTAATCCTAATTATATTCATGTGAATCGAGTGTCTACAGAGCGAGATCTGGTTGGATCTGAACGAGATTCATTCAAATG